GGATAGAAGGAGTTAACATTCTACCAGTTAACTTGAAAAAAAAAGATTCTTTCACAATTTTAAATTTGGATAATACGGAATTCTACATGTCAGTGAACAACAATCCAACATTTTATGAAACAGTGAAATGTACAGTTTGGCTCCAAGACTAATGTTCATCAGCATGGTACCCCACGTTTTAAATTGGGAATTTTGACTAAAACTTTATGTACTGTTAACCAAATGTTTACTATTTAATTTCTTATGATATCAAAAAGTCTTATCAATGTCAAGCTACATAAAAAAAAAAGCACAGGTGAAACACCGTTAATGTATTTTTTTTTTACTGTAACCCCATGGTGTATCAGTTAGGGATTAACTATTAACCAGTTACTATTAATTTGTCTGTTGTGAATAATACTATTTTTAAGCTGTAACTGCTTACTTAAACAATAAACTTTAACCTTTTCACAATGGGAGCCCCTTTAAATGCTTTTCTTCACAAGTCACTGTGTTACATTCAAAATTTGATTAAACACCTTTACTATCAGTGTATGTGAATGAAATTAATATTATAATGCACATTATGATTCAAAGTTTTATGTTATCCAAGTCCTTTATTTCAAAAGAAACCTTGAAAAAACTACTTAAAACTTCACATGTATTGTCATGTGACCAATGAGCTATGAAAATTCTCTACTTTGGCTCTCTGTATCTTCAATAATACAATGGTAGTTGATAAGTGGTAGTTGATCTAGACAATAAGATGCTTACATAGCTTTTTGACTCTTTCACTTCAAATTTCTCTGAATGAATACAGTTGAAACAAGTAATAAACTTTTTCAACCCCCTCAAGCTACTATGCCCACCTACAACAAATTTGTTTGAGCTTTATAACCTACATGTAGATGTTACATACCCATGTGTATACTCATTAGAAAGAGCTCATTTTACACTATAATCTAACAACAGTTATTCTGAAATTGGCACCAAGCTGTCATCACTGAGCACATGTAAATGACTGTAGTATTGTCAGCTGCTTGATTAACTATAGCACTTACAGTTGTTTCCTACCTAAACATGTTATAGTTGGAGATACAGTTTAAATTGTATTTAGGTCTTACTATATTTTAAAATGGATAATTAAAAGGTTTAAATATTTTTTAAATATACATTATACTTTGCGACCATTCATTCTCAAGGCTTATGCACTGAACAAAAATTTTGCAAACTGGTTGTGCATGTCTCCCAAAGAAACTGTAATACGCTTCGAGGGCACCGTTGACTTGTGTTCAGATGAATAATAAGTGGTAAAGAACAAGAGAGGAAAATAACACATTAAAAATTAACTATATTGAAAAAGGAAAATATTTAAAGATGTTCTACAAAAATTAAAAGGTGACTATTTTTTTCTATTTCCTAATTTTAATTATTTCATTGCATTGTACATTGTTGATAATAGCTAGTTAGTGATATAGTAGAGAAAATGAAAAAATATATATATATATATATATATAAACATCTTAAAAAACTTTTGATATTCATTTAGAGGTTCTAGAGGTTATGCAAATGAAATATTAAAATTATTAGATGAAGAAAAGTATTTTTTTATACTTAAAATGAAAATCACCTTACACTCATACTATTCAGTTTTAGTGCAAATAACTACTATAGATAAATAAAATTTTTATTAGAGAGACATAACTAAAATAATGTCATTCTTTGTGTACAAA